CAGGCATTCCGGAGCTTCGTCCACAATTTAACCGCCCCCGAATATCATGAAAGGTGCCGTTTCGATCGGGGGAATTTAGAGTATTTCCGGCAGAAGGACAACCATTTTGAGGCTCAGCGCAATTGAGTGGGCAAGTTTCGGAATTATAGCAGACTTTTGCAAAAGCAGCAGCGCCTGGCGAAGCAGGAAGCCCCTTGGCAATGACGGTCTTCTTTGCCTCGGGATATTGGGATTAAACCTTGCAGCTACTGCCTACTCATGCTCTCACAGCGTTGAGAAACCCCCCTGAAACCCTGAACCGCAAACCAAGAGCCGTCAGGTTCGGAAGCCGCACCCTGAACCCTGGAACCGAAACCCCTGCACGGGACATGTTATTGGCCTCTGTGCCTTGGGGTCCAGCGTTGGGTGGAGCAGCTGGTCGATCAAATCCGGCTTCAAGCGCATCAGCGCCTTCATGGGCAAGTGGAGCTTTGGTTTTCGAATTTTTGGCTGCAGCTTGTGAAGCTTTAAGAATGATTAAGACACGTGTGTCCTGAATGCACACTGGAAAAACACCTTATCGCCGGACCTTACACCCCCTTGACTCCCATGCCTGCGACTTGCTGATCAGCCCCTCGTTCGCCATGTCCACCGCAATCTGCAGGGCTGCGTGGGCCGTGCGCTTCCCGGTGCGGGTCTGGAGCATGTAGAGCTTGCCTTTCGGGCAGGTTCTGGGGCGCAGGGTTTTCAGGTCTCGGAATTCAGGGCTTAGAGAAAACGTACATGACTCCGAATAAAGCAAGGCGACCTGCCTTGCTGGATTGTAAACCTCAGCTCTCATTTGCATGAAACATCTCAGAAACACTTTGAATCCCATGGACCCTTGTTTTCAAGCCAAGAAGCTCGATGTCCTGCATGTCCCTGTAATGGTTCTCCAATTGGTGGCGAACATTTTCCAGCTCCCGGAAGATCCCGGGCATCACCTTTGGACACGAGGTTGGAAATTGACAATGCCGGCCCTTTTGTACCACCAAAAGGGTCTCTCTGGTGCTGACTATAGGGATGGTCACGGGACCCCGAATATTTGGAAACCCATGACATACCCTTACTGTTGAACGGCCACAAGGTGTGACAACCCTAAAGATCACAAAGAATGATTTATGATTGTGACAAACTCCCACCTCCTCCAGCGACGGCAAGTCGCTGCCGTGCGACTTACGAGCCTTGTTTGGGTTTAGAGTTCGGAGCTTAGGGCTTCTAATTCATGTGGATCTGCAGGGCATAGAATCTGAGATTTTACTGTGCAGGTTTGGCATGAGCTGGTAAGCCTTGATCGTCAGCTCCTGAGGCGTTCGGATGCCGGCCACCACATCCTCACAGGCCACGCAGGCTTTTGAGTAACTAGGTGCCGTAAGAAGAACCTGATATTGCACAAGCCGCAGCTGGGACAGTCACTTGCCACGGACCCTGGCCTCACCCTGCGCGTTGACCAAGAACTCTCCGTAGAAATCCTGGAGCGTAACATTACTTTATGTGATTCCTGGAGGTGAGTGAAGAAGGATTTGCATAATGTGGAACCGCCGACTTAAAAAAAGAGACACCTTGGCGCCGTTGGAAGGATTGCGGGTGAAGGCAACTCCCGTTGCGCAGTCGTTGCCCATGTTGCCGAAGACCATCGCCTGAACATTCACGGCCGTGCCCCACTCCTGGCAGGGAGCACACGATAGAGCTTCGCGAGCACATCACAACCTCACAAGCAAGCACAACGTGCAAACACGGCATGCACCATAACAGTTGTAGAAGCACTCATTGCAGTTCATGCGAACGTCTGCAATGTTAAGATCGTTTACCACCACACGCTCCCTTTCAGACCCTCCCGTCACCCTGGAAGTCCTCTGGGATGTCATGCAGCTTTCGGTAGGTCTTGGCCCTCTGGTTCATCCAAGACCCGAAGACAGCACCCACTGCACCCCAGAGCTGCTGTTGCGGGTCCTCAGGGCTCTGCTTTTCGGGAAGGCTTTTGGAATGCAGAAATGAATGGTAGGAGGTATGGAGGGGACTTTACAACAAGGTCAGACAGATCAATTCCTCATTCCCTATGGGGCACCAGCTAGATGGGGTCCTTTCAGGGCCACACTTTTCTTGAAACTGCTTTGTTGGAGTTGGCAAGTAGGCTTGCATAATCCTGGGGCTGAGTAGAAGGGAGACCCGAAGCTTCTGGCCTGCAAATGCTTGCTGCTTGAAACTTC